CGCCAAATCATAATGTCGCTGCTATAATTGCTGCTCCGATTTATATGCTGTGGAACCTCTTCAGCGGCTTTATGATTCCTCACAAGGTAACGGAAAGTGACTACTTTCTTTCGTCTCAGTTTGCTTAATTTAATCACTTGCATTCTGTGCTACATCTCGGATGTATAATGCTAGTTTCAGACACGAAACTAGCACGAAAACCTGATTTATAGGTGAAAATACTGATTCATTGAGCTAGGTATCTAACACGATAACACGCACTTGTGCAGAGAATTCCAATCTGGTGGAGATGGTATTACTGGGCAGACCCTATCGCCTGGAGCCTGTACGGCCTCTTTGTTTCACAGTACGGCGAGGATGACAGTCTTGTGAAGCTAGCTGATGGAATCCATAAAATGCCTGTAAGGCAGTTGCTCGAAGTAGGGTTTGGTTACAAGCATGATTTTCTGGGTGTAGCCGGCATTGTGGTGGTCGGTTTCTGCGTGTTTTTCGCCTTAGTTTTTGCCTTTGCAATAAAAGCATTCAACTTCCAGAGGAGATGATAAGTCCAACTTTTATACCGCATTGCTTTGGTTCTGGGATTATTCAGCTTTTCCTGAAGGAACAGTTGAGGTGTATAGCTACAAGGTTTACATATATTGTATGTTTTACTTTACAAAGCTTAAAAATGTTGTTGTAAAATTCCATATTTTTGGTATGAACGCTTCTTCAACTAATTGGTGAATAAAATGTCATCGTCTTTTTTGTTTTCTAAGACCATCTCCAACTCTTGGGCTAAAATCTAAATTTTTTAGCCCAGAAAATTTAGGTTTTAAGCCCAAAAACAACTTTTTTGCTCTAACTCTTCTGGCTTAAATTTTTTAACTGAGATTATTAAAGAATAAATTTAGACTAATTTTTTCTTTTAAAGTAATTTAAAAAAAATTATATACCCTATCATAATTTAATTTTATGAACATTTTAATCTAAAAATATTTAAATTCCGATAAATATTGAAAAAATCACTAAATTTGGGTGAATTTTGAGTTAAATAATTTTTTAAATTATTTAAGCCGTTGGATTTAAATTTAGACTGTTAGATCTTTTTTTTTACCATTAGATTTGATTATATTCGATCTCAGTCGTTGGATCCAATAAATCTTGGGAGACATGTCCATGTGGGTGGGGTTCTGCTGGTGGTGCCCACACCATTTTCTGGGCTAAATCCCGAGGGAAAATTTGGCTTTTGTTTGACTTTTAGCCCACACATTTAGTATAAGTTGGGCTGGATTTTGGGGGAATAAAACCTAAATAATAGCATTTAGTCCAATGTTGGATTTAGTCTAAGGACCCGTCTGATAACAATTGTGTGCTTCATTTCTCTATATATATTGGCTTGTCAATCATACACGGCTGACAATAAGAAACATACAATGGCCTCAGAGCCAGCTCTTAAGAGCCAGATCACAGGAGAAAAACTTGCTAACACACGACGTATATATATACCTCTGCCTCTCTCATCACGATGATTTTTTCCCGGGTTATGGACACTCGTACACGATCTGATATTGTACGTCCGGAAGCATGGTAAACATGACATACAGTGATATGCTCATGTGCGTAGAGAATGAAAAGGGCCATGTATGTGACTTTTTGTTACCTCACAAGTGCAGTGCAGTACGACTTACCGGATCTGTGCATCGTAGGAACTTTCCTGGCGCCTCATATTTCAACATTTTATTTCTCAAAGAGGGAAAAACCCAGAAAGATTAGAAATTTGCGCGACTGATAAAAGTATTACTAGCATGTTGCTTCAAAGTCAAACGTCATCATTAAATTCCCAACCGACCTTCTTACAATGATAGGGTTTATTTTTGCTCACTATCCTCAAATGGTGATAATGTTCATCACTTTACTTATTATCATAGAATGAGTTTAAATTTTGATATTTGTGATTATCCGCTATATAAATCTTAATATTTAAATTCATCAAACGGTGATAAATAGTGTGGTGAGCATCACGATCACTTGCTAGTGGGGAGCAAAAATATTCTCATAATGATAGGGTCGGTCAAAAATGATAAAATGTAACAGTAAAGATTGGCATTGTTATGCATTACGTTATATATGTAACTTAAGGAGAAATGGTATGTACGGAGAATATATATCAAGTAAAATATACAAAATTATGGAATTTGTTTCCAAAACTTCTATATTAATTCTATTTTATCATTGATGAATTATCTATTTATAAACTTCTAAACTGTGTGATAAGAATATAATTAACGGGTAGGTTATGTTATGGGCGTCATTCACATTTTGTTATTGTTTTATGAATATTACGATCGTCATGCACATTCTGTTAATTTACACTATTAACTGTATGAATATTACCATCGTCATTCCTGGATAATTTAGGTATCGTTGTCCGATTCCTCGAAGATCACTTCTATGTCAAAAAAATGCAAGCAAACATATTGTTAGCTTGATTTAGTCATGAACCCCAAATTCCAATATCGTGTTTCGCAGTACCAACACCACCCCCTCCCTATCCCTAACACTTGGCCTACACCTACATGAAATCTGGATCATCTTTGTGAGGATCATGGGGATTCATCATTGTGCGGTAAAAAATTATTTTAAATATTTTTATTTAAAATTAAACACAAACAGTACTAGATAAAAACTGATCGTACGATGTACGATAAACGGACACGATTCATGGATCTTCACCAAAAAGATCTTGAAAGAATCCTGTTGGACCTACATGCACGCATGCCGCACCCTCTACGAGGAGAGAAAGTATATATCTGAAACTGAACCCCTTTAATTCGCTTTATATACACACCTCCAAAATCTGCCCAGAAAACCGACGAAATAAGACACTGTTTGGTCAACAGCTCTCTCTTCTATTTCACATCCAAACAAAAAGTTTCAAACCTCTCTCTCTCTCTCTCATATGATGAACATGAACTCATCAATCTCAGAATCCTTCAAAACAAACCCTATCAACCTCTCCCACATTATCCCACTCGATTTCGAATCCGTTCATGCCCTACCCGATTCCCACATCTGGACTCATACGAAGGAAGTTGAGGTTCCAGTCTCAAAATCAATCTGCAATATGAAGAGTAACCCAACTCCTTATAATACTCCGTCTTTGGTCTGCGTACCCGTCATTGACCTATTCAACTCGAACGCCGCCTCTCTCGTACGCCGTGCATGCGAGAAATGGGGTGTTTTCCAAGTCACCAACCACGGCATTCCCATGCAGCTCATGAAAGAAGCTGAGTTCCAAACCCGTCGCTTATTCGCTCTCCCGAGAGACCAAAAGCTCCGGGCGCTCCGATCACCCGAGGGAGTAACCGGGTACGGGTTGGCCCGCATTTCGAAGAACTTCCCGAAGCTGATGTGGTCAGAGGGTTTCACCATCATGGGGTCTCCGGCGGAACATGCTCGTCAACTTTGGCCACGTCACCATGCCAACTTCTGGTACGTGCACAAAAAGCATAAATAATGCACGACCTGCTTGTCACTTTAGTACCGTTTCTCTTTAATTAGATTATGTTCGTTAATCGTTAAGGTCGATGGATTGAGGAGCATGTTTCAATTATGACGTGGTGGAAGATGAGTGGTTTAGAACTAAGCTTAGCGTACGCGTGTCCGTACTGGTACATACACCATCTGCCTTGTTCTTCACGTAGTCGGTTTGCGCATGATCCAGAGTCCAAACCCATAACATGGAGAGATTTTCAGTGTCACCGAAAAACATAGAAGTACATCATATGTCATTTTACAAATAAAGTGATATTTGAAAAATAAATAAATAAACGGAGTAGTACGTCATATGTCATTTTACAATTAGATTGACTTGAAAAAAAAAAAAATTTCTCTTCAACTATGTAAGCATATATAGTGTACCGCTTCTTGTTCCGATCACATTGAAAATCTCTCCATAACAAGAATGGACTTCTTTTTCTTTTTTGGGGTTGTGCCCAAAACAATTTTTAAAAAATTTATTTTGAAAAATATTTGGTTGAGGATCATTGGTTTTTTACATAAAAATAACAATTTGTTACTTTGACGTAAACTTTTCTTTTTGTGATTTTACCAAGTCACTTGAGTGTATATATCAGTTTGTGATCTTGTATTCACGACCATGGAATTTGCAGTTAAGTTCTTTCACTCGACAATAAACATTTTTATGTTATCGGAATGTCAATCTGAATTACATACAGTTAAACAAAAGTTCATTTTATTAACGGTTCAGATTGAAAACAACGATTTTAGTATAGATTTGTGTTATTAGTCATCATACTATTCCCATCAATTTAATGATCTCATCGATGTTCATGCAGCGGTGCAATGGAAGAGTACCAAAAGGAGATGAAGGGCCTTGCCCTAAAATTAATTGGGCTCATGCTTGGATCATTGGGCCTAAACTATGAAGATGTGAAGTGGCTTAAGCCCAAAAATAGAAGCGGGCCACGGGCCTTGCTTCAACTGAACTCCTACCCGGTCTGCCCAGACCCGACCCGGGCAATAGGTCTCGCTCCTCACACGGACTCCTCATTGCTCACTTTGTTAAACCAAAGCAGTATAAGCGGCCTCCAGGTCCTTCTGGACGGGATCCGGTGGGTGCCGGTGCACCCGATCCCCGGTGCCCTTGTAGTCAATGTCGGTGATTTGATGCACATACTGTCGAACGGACAATTCAAGAGTGCGGTGCATCGTGCGGTTGTCAACGCAGTACACCATCGCATCTCAATGGCGTACTTCTATGGCCCGCCAATGGACGTGAAGATATCGCCGTTGATTGACCACAATCATCCACTCTATCGGCCGGTAACATGGAGGGAGTACCTTGAGTACAAAGCAACGCATTTCGACAAGGCGCTTGAAGTAATCCGGACAGATGCCGAGAAGCTGTACCAGCATACATCCGATGATTTTTCCTTCGGCCAATGGCCCAATTGTACATATTGATATGAAACGGCGAGTTTGGAATCATAACTCACAACTTGCGCAATCTTTAAGAAGCCTTCATTTACGCTTCGTCTGGCCGAAATATATTTACGTTGTAGGCCCCTTTTAAGTTGAACGAGATTCTTTCGATCGAGTTTGTTTTGACATCGCAGTTAGGCTCGACGCAACAAAATTCTTCTATCAGTTAACTTGGGTTGGTTAAGCTTAACCACTTCTTTCGTGCACAGCAAACATATAAACAACTAAAGCATCTAAATGCCGACTCCTTCAAGATGCGGTGAGGAAAAGGTACTACCATGTCACTTCCAGAGCTTGACGCACTTGTCGTGGCTGGCTGAAGCAACTAGCCCCGTAGCATTTGATACCGCCAGAGAAGACACTAGCTTGTCATGAGCGTGCAGAGTCATTGTCTTGTTCTCGGCCATGTTCCAAAGCTCCAAAGTCTGAATTCGCACACCAATTTCACATCAAAATAAAAACCCGCTTAGCATCTTCGATAAGAGAAAGGCATCAGCATAACAAAAGGTGGAGAGCAGTAATGACTTACCTCATAACAGCCAATGACCAACAATGCAGGATAAGTCGGATGGAACACACACGTATTGAATTTGTTGCCGGAACAGCTCAACTCGTGAATGAATTCCCCTTTGCAGCTGGAACCAACTGTCCACACTCGAACCAAATCGTCACTCACTGATGCTAGATACTCGCCAGAAGGATTCCAGCACACAGAATGTACACCGCTTTTATGTCCCTACATGAATACCGCAAGAAACAAATCAGAACGCGTTCATGATGACATGATGGTTAAGAAATTTTAAGAAACCACGGAACGTAATCATAAGATTTTGATTCATATATTAATTGGACTTGTAAAGAAAAAGCGTCCAGGTAAAAGACAGTAATCTTGTTTGTACGTGCATTTCATTCGACCCCAAAAATGTGGACACCACCACCACTACCCATTTCTAACGATTTCAAATCAATAGTAAAACTATTAAAATGTAACGGGAAGTCAATAAGAAACCTGTAATTTAAGCCTGCAAACTTGTGTCTCAACATCCAAGATTGATACAAAATTATCTGCTGCAGCAGCAAGGTTTCTTCCAAAACGAGGTTGAAACCTCACCTGAGTTGCACCACCCTGAAAAAGTAGTGTAACATTATTAAATACGGATACATTGACTAAACGAAAAAACAGAATTCTGGTACTCCCTATACAGAGTAGACAAATTAACACCGTGTTGTATACCTTGAAAACTCCTGCACAACTACCATTCTTGATACTCCAGTACCGCATCTCAATGTTGTGATCACAAGAGCAGAGAAGGTCCTCTTTACTGGGATGGAAGTCCACCGACTCAACAGTGGTAGAATGTCCCACAAAATTACGAAGCGAATATCCAGGCTACAGGAAATCAAATCAAATCATCAATTGCATGGAACAATAGGTCGTTTGCCAGGTTTTTCAGATTGCAATTTTCATGACAAGCTGTTACCACGTCGGTTTCAAGTTCTCATTATACCCTTTCATATTAAACATAAAATCATCATGGTAGCATACACTACATGCCATGAACCTAAGAAATGTATATGTCGACTCACATTATCAGCATCCCAAACCCGGACGGTTTTATCTGCAGAAGATGTAGCAAGCCTTGACATGCTAGGACTAAAGCGAACGTCAGTTATCCATTGAGAATGCTCTTCAAGTGTGGACTTGACACTATAGGTTTCAGTGCACCACAATACAGCCTGCATCATAAAATAATTAAAGTAATCCTCAGTATTGTGTGTTTCTTTCAACTATTCATATTGGTAACAAGTTTTTTTTTCAAAAGAGCAGATATCATTTTAGGCCATTCATGCCCCTAAAACCTATCTGAAACTTCAATCTGCCTAGGCTTACCTTTCGGTCATGCCCACCAGTGGCAAGTGATTTTCCATCCGAAGAGAAGTGGCAACATTCAACTTTATTTTTACTTGCAGGAATAAGCTGGACTTCCGTAAAACTGAAGCCTATTTCATCAAGACAATGTAGAAAGCCTTTTGTTATATTTCTGGTATAAATAAACCAAGATATACATCTTCTGAGAAAATTAACGAGGTTAACAAGTTTGGACCAATATATAAGTCGGGATTCATCATACCTTTGCCAACATCTGAACACTGAGCAACTCTACCTCTAGGGTCAGCATCATCATGCGATAAGAACGATTCAACATTATCCTCCAAAGATCCATCATCCACAAAACGGTCTACATCAGTCTGCAATATACAGCTCAGTTACTGACTGCCAACGTAGTCCTAGAAACAATCCCTGATAAGTAAGCACTATATGCTTTCTCGCAAAGGGCACATTTAACCATAATAAGAAAATCACATGAGGCAAGTCTCTACGAGCATGTTATACCCACTACAAGTGATTTGGGGTAATACAAATCCCAAATGCAATCAATACAAAATTAGATAAAATAATGACAAGTTTCTAACCAATTTATTTGGCGCCGATGCAAGTGAGCCCAAGCCATCAGAGCCAAACATAAGTACAGACTTCGACGAACCACCATTAGGGGGTAAAGTCGGCATAGACACGCCATCCACTGTGTGAGTAGAAGGCGTTGAAGGTGAACTGGGAGATGGTCCCGTGGTGTTAACCGTCCCTGAACTATTGGCAGGACCCGAAGATGACACTGGCTGCTTTCTCTTTCGCCCAAGTTGATTCTTTGAAGCCTTGAACAAGGAAAACTAAGTCAGAACCTCATATAACAGTATTCAACACTAATCAAGTTCACAGCAAAATATACAGATCACAAAACAGTTGGCTCTAGAACTATGATGAAATTTGAGTTTAGTACTAAAAAAGCAGTTATGTAGGATGGAAAGTTATGGTACACGATAAATTTGTAGTACGTTTTTACTGCAATGATCAAGTAGAAAAAAAAAAAAAAAGAATAAGAAAAGAGAGATAAGAAAAAGGCATTGCTACAGAAGACAAAAATTCGATAGGCACTAATAGAAAACCTGATCATTCCCTTGAAAGGTGTTAGGCATGCTACCATCTGGTGCCATGCCACCAGAACCCATAATTTTTTCATGCTGCTGGAGGTGTTGGCTTGAATTATGAGAGTGCTGACTTGAAAGCGGATGCTGCAAATACTGCTGCTGCTGTTGATTGTTGCTTTGCATCTGCTGTTGCTGTAACTGATAAGCTGGCTATATAAGCAAATATATACAGGAACCATGAAGTTGACAAGATCTAGTGATAATAGCTAAAATTATGAGTTTCCAAAAAATCCAGTGTAGACGAAGGAAATGATACCTTCATAAGCATGTCAGCATCTCCACGAGGTAAGACCGGGCAACCAACTTGCACTGGTGATCCAGCATTAGGTACACCAACAGAACTTAATTGACCATCTTTCCCAAGAACCATATTTCGATTGTTGAGAAGCATTCTCATCCTTCTACTGTCCAAGTCATTGGAAGATGGAGAAGGTAAATTTTGTTGTGCTAGCATAAGTTGCTGCTGTTGCAGAAGTTGATTATAGGGTTGCGGGGACTGCATCAAAGGATTTTGCTGCTGAAGAATCCCAGATCGAAGCCGATCAAATCCCTAAAAAGGTGGAACTCTATCAGAAAACCACTTATCTAATTTGAAAGAAACACACGGAAAAAATACATTACAATCATATAGAGTGGAAGGATATTCAGTTCTACCGTTAAAGGCCATCCTTTCAGAGTCAAATTGTTACCACCTTGATTTGATCCTAATATGAAAATATGAATCATTGGTAAGAGAAGAATCCAATACAAATACGAGTAATGATTTCAACACATAAACGAGCAATGAAATATGCAACAGACTCTGAAATGAGAAATGCATTTTCAATTCTAATTAAATATGAGTCCGAATTGATGATATTTTATGACTCAATTTGGTATTGGCATCTATAATATGAGTCCTTTTCATTACAAGACAAGGGATCCTGACCAAAACACTTGCCTGAATAAATCCAATGAGCTATCGATACACAAGAAATTGTACTAGTTTTCTTATTTAACTGCCCAAGTTTCATATCTAAAAACCAGCCCACATTCTAGCAGATGAAAAGAAACAACATCAATCAGTAGATTCAGTACCGTGAGCGCCAATCAATGATCCTTCTGAAGCAACAGCTCTGGGATTCATCATCTCACTCTTTATGTCCTGTTTCATCATAGAAAACATGCCCAAAATAAGAAAATCAAATTGTAGGGATAAACAAACAAAGAAACAGACACTGATGATAATCACCTGTGAAGAACCAGGAAGTTGCTGACTCCGACTGTGAGGTTGTTGAAGATTCCCCAACACACCACCAGTTGGGCCATGCAGCATTTGACTGTAAAGGAGTTCAACCACTTTCATATTAATTAAAGTATCAATTGCTAGGAAAGAGCATGTGTTACGCCGTAAAGCTGAGTCATGATAAATATGGAATCTTAAGAGAAATACCCAGGAGGCTGGCCACCTGCTGTAGTTGCTTTCATCATCGAGGCATGATTGGGATCCAAAAGCTGACTCATATTGTCGCCTAACCTTTGCTGCATGGTGTTTGTATTGTGAGTTTGTAACTAGATTAAATGAATATAAGATAGAAAGAAAGTCTCTCGGAATATATGGAAAAACTCATTACCTTGATAGCTGCATCATCCATAGCATCCCTCTGAGTTGGAAGCTTTAATCTCTCCTCGTACATTTTTGTTGCCATAGAATTTGCAGTTGCAGGGTTCTGTCTCAAAAGAGAATCATTAGCAGTGCCATTATGAAGCTGGGTCCCATCTCGACGCTGCTGCTGCTGCTGCTGCTGTTGCTGCTGCTGCTGCTGCTGCTGCTGTCGCTGCTGCTGCTGCTGCTGAGCATGTCTCTGTAATATAAGCTGCTGCTCCCTAGCCTTTATTGCTTGAGTCTAACACATCCAGACAAACAGAGAAACAAATGAAAATGGAGAAATTCAAACAATACCATCTATGTTACGAACAATAGAGCTAGGAATGAAGTCAAATATAAGTTCACACCTCGATGTAAGATGCAGCTGCTTCTGAGTGCTTCTCATTCGTCCTAGCAATGAATATGTCCCAAAAGACAGACCACCATTCGAAAAGAAAGCCGCCAGGTGCATCAATAGCTGGAGCAACCGTAAAATCAAAGAAATTTGATTAAACTCAGATAAAAATTCACAGATAACACTGAATCTCTTTTATTCGGCAGATTTAAGTATATTCTCACCTACAGGATCCGTAGCAACTTTTCCTTCAGCTTGAAATGCCTTTGCAGAAGCATGTAATTTTCTCTTCATAAGGTAATCATATATATACACATCCAACCTGTGATCCAAACAGATTAGAAGGTTACCACATGTCAGAAATCCAAAAAAAACCTTTAACATTTGAGAATCTGCAGGAAATAACATTGGCAGAAGGTACCAAATGCAAAAACATAACATCCGACACAACGCTAATCCACCAATCCAGTGCCAAGAAAATGAAAGGAACTATTAAAAGTGAAAATTTTCGAGCCCGAAAACTCAAATCTTCTCACTAATTATCTTTATAGTGTCAGATTTAGTTGAAGCGAATTATTTAGTTCCTACAACTAACTGAATCAAAAACGTGAAACAAAATTTTGAAGTTGTTTTAAGAAAATCCACAGCATCAAAAGACATGGTGCTTTATTTACTGCTAAGAAATAAGAAAAGCAACTTTTTGGATCCCCAATGTCCTCATAGAAGACTGAAAAGTTAAATTCCTCCCTCTTTTCCCCTTCTTTTCTGGAGCACGAGAACATTGGGAATTACCAACAACAAGAAGACAACCTTATCGCACACATAAACATGGAAGATATCTCGACATAGCTTCCAAAAACATGTAAAAATCAAACAACCCAGTACATATTAAGGTCACCAAAACACGAAAAACACTAATTAACCACAACCCAACAGCAAAGATTCAATCTTTAAAAGAAAGAACGGTTAATTATGTGAAAAAAAAACGAAAGAACACAAGTGAAACAAACCCAAATGGCAAAGCGAAAATAACCATAAAATACCCATTTGAAAAAGATAAGAAAACAACAGAACTCACCAAAACCCTACAACCAAAAACTCACTCAAACCACCCAAAGTTAAAGCTACTGCCATGGCAGTAAGAATAAGGAAAAACCCAGAAAATTTGAGACCTAACATTAAGAGAAATGAAAATTTTACGGTGCAAAATTACTTACATTTTATCAGCTTCCCAACTGTTCTGGCTCTGAGACATGATTAAGAAATTCGCAGAAAGTCTAATCTGCAGGAAAATCCGAAACTTCGGACACTTAGCAGATGATGATGAAGTAGAATGTCGGAGCCTCCGTCTTTTCTCTGTTATACGGAAGCGAATGCGTATTTTTTTTTTGTTGTTTTTTTATATTCTTTCTCGCTCTTAAAAAACTTACAAAGGTAAGTTGAACGAAGACGACAACCTCCTCATTGAGTCAATACTAAAATAATGATTTCCATTTTTTTCTGGTTTTTCTGGCTTCTTCCTCTTTTTTATATAATTTCTTTATTTATTATTTTGTATATTATTAATGTTGATATTTTTTTTAACAAAGATATTATCTACATTAATGAAGAGGCGGTGAGTTTACCCTTGTGATGGACTAGCAATAATATCATTCAAATTCGTTTTTAGCAAGAATCGAACCTAAAACCTCTCACTTACAAAGAAAAAAGAATATCATTAGATCGTAATACTAAGTAACATTAATGTTGATATTCTAAACCACCGAGTTTGAACTTTTACAAATGAAATTTTTGGACCACTAGCACTATTTTAGCAGGACGTTTTCCGGCCAAACCATGGCGAATTAGCAGTCAAGAAAGGTACCATTCTCTTTGTCTTGTTGAGAAGTATGATTTTCGTTTTTAAATCACTCGATTTCATTGAGTATTGAAGAAGTTATGAACGTTTAAAGTTTACCTAGTTTATGGTGAGTTTTCTAGTTTTCCCGCAGACCAATCACCTTTTAAGCTATTTTCCAACCATTTCCGGCAACCATTGGGCTTCCAAATATGTATGATCTTGTTCTACATTTTCCTATTTCATTTTGATATATTATGGATCGAATTTGATTAAGAAACGATTGAGTTACAAAGTTTTGAAATTGTACCCAAACTTCCGGCAAGAGCTTCGGGACACTAACGGAGTTTTTAATGGAATGACCAAAATAATGGATGGTGGACAATCTCAGAGACCATTTCTATTGATTTTCAATTTCAGAGACCAAAATAATGTGTTATGCAAATCTCATATACCATTTTGGCTAAAAAGTCATTCTATAATGGTATAGTAACATATGAGCATTTCAAAGGGAGGTAGCATTTAGATAATACAGTTAGATTTGTTATGCCATGTAGAAAAACACAACTCCACCGAAAATAATAACTCAATTAACAAATTAAAAAATTAGCAACTGACCTCATAAACATCCAAGGTCAGCCATTACTTCTCCAAGTTAGAAAATTATCTCTCGCTTACTCAAAAATATTGTTTAGCAAATAGTTTAAATTAAAGAAAAACTAATGAAAATAGTTTGAAAACTTTGAGTTTTAATCAAAATGATAAAAAAATATTTTAAATAAATAATATCAGAAGTAACTTTTTAAAATAAAAATATTATTTTTATTAAAAGTAAACATTACTAAAAACATTTCGCTAAAACTCCTTTAAATTAAAGCTAACCTGCGAAATAACAAAAGAGTCCTCTAAAAATCTCAGATGGTCCGTTAACATTTCTCCTCTAAATGGTAGTACGCTACAGACAAATAGGTCAAAGAGATGAGAATAAGTTTGGAGGATCCCTCACCCTTTTGAAATCTGTGGCTGTTAAAGCATCATATCATATCACATCACAATTTAAGAGAGATTGTTTGATGTGATCGGAACACGAAGTAATATATTATATGTTATTATACAAATAATGTGATATATATGTTAAAAAACTAATAACTTAAAAAATAAAAAATTTCACTATTTATATAAAAACACATTATGTGCTCTGATCACACTGAAAAATTTCTCATAATTTACAATGCTCTCTGATACTACTTACTGCCAATTGTCTTCAAAGGTGCCAGAGAAAAGAATAAAAAAAGTTCGACAGGCTTTTGCAGATTTTGCTGCCGAAGGGTCACAAAAAGTCAAAGATAGGGTGTTGGGAAAATTCCAATCCTCTTCTCTTTTTTTTTAACCCACGCAAACCCCGCCCCGCGCAATTCTTTTATATTATCCAAGATTCTAAAAAATATTAAGCACTAAGACCAACTTTAATAGTGGGTTAAAAGTTAAAAAATATTAAGCCTAAGTTCATTCTTTAATAATTTCAGGCTAAAATTTTAGGCTAGAACGGTTGGAGCAGAAAAGCTGTTTTTGGGCTAAAAGCTAAATTTTTCAGGCTAAAAAATTTGGCTTTTAGCCCAACCATTGAAGATGGTCTAATCGGGTGATAGGCTAGCGTCTAGATGGGTGCCTAGGCAGTTTAGGTATATTTAGGTAATTTTTTTGTATATCTTGTAAATAAATGCATATTGACACTTACAAAAAAATTATATTTGTATCAAATCCATAGATAACATAATAGAAGAATGATAAAATGCAAAAAAAGTATCTAACAAGTCCAAAATTTAAAACATATTAAGCATATATGCTATATAACAATAGTGAGGAGTATTATAGGATGACACATGTACAACAAGTTCACAATTCAAACCACATATAAATTAATCAAATTTACGACATAATATATATAAATAAACATTGATACTATGTTATTTTCAAAAAAAAAAAAAAAAAAGAATATATAGGCATATATGTTAAATATGAGGATACATGTAAAGTTTAAAAATTGTATCATTTTGTTAGCCCATATTGTTGGGCCTCTCAATAAAATAAAAGGAAAACTAATGAGAAAAAGGCTTGAAAACTTTGAGTTTTAACGATAATGACAAAATAAAGGATAAAGTGAATAGTACTAGGTTTGACTTTTTAGTATAAAAATGTGGTTTTTCGTTAAAGTGAACAGTACAGTGGACTTTTCGTTAAAACTCCCTAAAATAAAACGTTGGCCCTACACTCATTTTTTAATTAATACTTCACCAATTGTTTAAAGGTGCTAGCTAAAGCAAAAAGTTGCAAATTGCTTAAAACCCTAACTCGCATCTCTCTGCAATTACACTCATCTTCAACAACTTGCCGCCGCACCCATCTTTGCAAACTTACTACAAACCGTCGCCATCACCCATCCTTGCAATTGCACAAATCTCATCTACCTTCTCTCTCTCTCTCTCTCTCTCACCATATTCGACTTCTCTTCTAGCAAACAGAGAGGCAGGCAGCGAGACTCGAGGAGACAAGAAGGTTGTGAGTCTCGCGACAGAAGTTTCTTTTCCAGACCGCCCAGCGTCCGTTGAGCCTGCCTAGCCCGCCTAGGCAGCCGCCTTACACCACTTAATGTCCTTGTCGATTTAGTGAACGATTTCAAGTTAATCACGGTGGAGCACCACCGCCTAGACCGCGTTTTATCTCACTGATATTATCATTCATGACCCTTTATTCCTCTATTTTTTGATTAATTTATGACTAGCCTTTATGCACACGCTCACATGCGTGCAGAAGACATCTTTTGAATCACGGCATGCTACACATGATTTACAAGTTTTAAATGTATTTATATGTGTAAATTGACAAAAAAATAGTCAAATATTTGAAGTAAATGAATAATATTAGATCAAGTAAGAAGAAACCCCTCATAAACCAATTAAAGCAAATGAATTTACATAATAAAATCGGTCTATATAGAATTTACATTAAGAATAGAGAAAATAATATTTAATAAAGAATTGATTGAATCACATTATTACTAGCCCATTGTGAGGCTAAGTTCATCCTCTCTCCCCCTTAGTATAGATAATATCGTTTGTTAAAAAAAAAAAATCATTTGACAATTAATTTAATCATATTATTATCCACGTGCAAAAGACTTTTTTTTTTATAATGTCTCTTAAAATGTTTTGAACGTGTTTAAAAATAGAGAAAATAATATTTAATAAACAACTGATTGAATCACATTATTGCTAGCCCATTGTGATGCTAAGCCCATCCCTCTCCATTAGTGTAGATAATATCGTTGTTAAAAAAAAAAAGACAATCATTTGACAACTTATTTAATCACATTATTATCCGCTTGCGAAATACCTTTTTTATAATCGGCATTACACGCCTCTTAAGATGTTTTGAACGCGTTTAAAAATAGAGCAATTGAATTACATTATTGCTAGACTATTGTGAGACACTAATAAATAAATAAATAATTGTACCAAAAATTAAGCGAATTGTTATTAGCACTCCAAAAATCTCATTCTACACTCCGAACTTTCTATATTAGGAAATAAAAATACACTTGTGAGGAATGTAGAATGAGATTTTTGGAATGCCAATAATACTTCTCAAAATTAATTATTAAAAAAATATTGTTAAAATGACGAAAATACCCCCTGTCTTATTTGAGGCATTATTTTGGAATGCCTATAAAGTTTTTTGTCTCAGAAGCATTTTTGTTCAAATACATTTGTTAAAGCTTGATGGCATCAAAAGCACTATTCATCTTTTGTGTTGGCTTTATATATTAGAAGATTAGTGTAGAGCATAATTATCGTTAGCTCATGAACTGATTTTCAATTCCAATTTCCTAAAAAACCCTAATCCCAAAACTGATGCATGATAGGAGATCACAAGCCAACAAAAAGGAAACTGATTCCAGGCTTTCCAGCACATATCCATGAATTATGAACCCAGTTGTGTACAAAAATCTGCCATTAATCACATGGTTGAATTCAAGCACTTCCTCCAATGTGCGTGTAAAAGCCTTTTTCTTGATTGAAGCGACATTTGGAGAGACGGGATTGGAACAGAGAACTTCGGTGCAATGATATACATGTAACAAGACAAGCCCGGTGTTATTATTAGCTCTAATAGAAATAGGAAATTATTATTAGCATTTCAAAATTTTCATGATACTAAAATTGGACACAATTCTAACAAGTAATTATTAATTAAAAAATACCCAGACAAAATGGGGGGCCAAGCATTTTTCATTCCTTGAAATCATCCTTGTCATCAATGGGAATTGGGTTGTTTCTCCAGAAGACAGCAAGAGCACTCCAACCAAGCTGTTTAGGAGGGACAATTTATGATGACGGTAATGAAGGTTGTACTAGGTAGAACTCCCATGATTAATTGACTAAAAAAATAGTTAAGAAAGAAATTAAGAGATTTGAAGAGAATCGTACCGCCATGCAAACAACGCTGACAGCAGAAGGGACGGCAACAAGGGGGTTTGTAAAATGCTTTTGAGCTAGTAAAAATCCAAGTGCTGAGCTCTGCAAATGAAATATCGCGAAGGTAATCAGCAGGTACTTAAA